GGGGGGGGGTCGCATGCCATGAAAACGCCATCAAGTACGTCATGTATGTACTTTGTTACTCAAAGGTCGGTAATGGACGGCACTCGTTGGGGTCTACCTACTGCAGAGCACACATCAACCTGCCGTCAGAGGTCTGGTTGTTGACTCTGCCATGCCAGACAGGCTTGTCTGCTTGTGAGTATAGTTGTTACATGACCTCTAGGAATTTGCACGATTTTATAAGTAGGCTACATAAACACAACAGCTCTGTGGCATTTTTAGAAATCTAGACACAACAACACGAAGAAAGTTTGACTTAGAATTTGAGTAAAGAGAACCTAACCAACGTTGTAAAGGTCATGAAGTGCAGGGAAGAAGCACGCCAATTAGTATAGATCTACACAAACAACAGAGGGACAGAAAAGAAGTATAAGACCTACAAGTGTCGCCCTTCAACCATCCGCAGGCATTTCGAGAAATCAAGACACAACAGGATCAAGGCAGGGATAGTACATGTAAGATATACTGACAGCGTACTCTAATAAGTAAATCAGTGTATAGGTTTAACGCCCATGTCAATAATATCAGGTCATTCATGGCGGGACCTCCGAATTTAACGTGCGTCTCAGATAGGACCGAGCTAAATAGGTTGAGAGCCCTGTAAACTTCCAAATACTCGGTCGGGTTCAAGAACGCTAAGTTAGGGGTTCAAAGCAGGGCCGTCCGCTCCGCAGTCCAAAATGACAATACCAACCGATCTAACTGATCGCCCTGCAATGTACTTTGACCACTCGTTTTTTCATCTGGTCCGAGTCAAACAGTATGCAGAGACGGTTGTTTCGGACCAGTATTGTACAATGGCTTGTCAAACTTACAGAAACACCCGATAGAGGGTGGAGGAGAAAGACCCAACAGTTGGGAACTCCCAACTACTCGCCATTGTGATTTACTTTTAATGCAAGTCATTGTTAGACGACTATGCCATGGCAGGCAACCGACGCCGACAGCACACGTGGGTATCTTCAAATGTTCCAGCAACACTTCTGCTCGATGCGACGTGAAGCACAAGATAACGAAATAAAACAGGTGGGATCTTAATTAATCAACAGTATCATGGAAAGTAAGACTGCCACCACTTCAACTCTGAGTGATCCTGGTCACAGACGAGGTCGACAAACTGTCTGACAGCCCAAGATACGGTGTGTGATAATCCTGGAAAGACAGTTATTTTAACTCTGACATAATGGTACATTGACATCGCCGTGGACGCTTAACTCGCCTTTACTTGGCAGAGGGGAAATCATGCACGCGTACTTGTTAACAGTAATGAGGAAAACCACTTTCGGACATAACTAAATGAAATACACACTTACATTTCTCGATGTAAATACATGTATATAATTACACTTGGAGAGAGAGAGACAGACAGATAGATAGATAGATAGACAGCCTTTCTGCAGCAAAAGCACCACGACTTTTTCTTTCCAATGATTTCAGCGTAAACATTATAATTATTATTATACCAAGCTCGCTTGACTCTTCGGCGAGCAATGTGCATGTATGTAAAAGCTCTCTGGTGAATGCAGCCCGAATGCATTCCACTGAAGGCCTACTTGTATTTGAGTTTCAGCTGTGGTATTGCGGGGATTTAAAATCTTTTGTGTTCCTCTGCAAATCTCGGCCTTGCGCAGACGGACCGACCTCCTGTGGTACTTTTCTTTTTTTTTTAGTAAGAGTTTTACGGCGCTCGCAACTGCATACGGTCATATGAGCGCGCAGTCAGTACTTTGGTATAGATCTAGAAACCGACAGAAACAGATTACTGTTATTTAACGACGACCAAGGTGTGTTTCGTCCGGAAAATGGCTCGCATGGCTCAACCAAACATGTGGAAAGCAAGCATAAGATAATTTTAGATTTGTCCGACTTCTCCCCACCCTCACAGGTGCCCCCTACAGCCCATCGTTTGGCTTATTGCAACTACGTGTGTGTACGTGTGTGTACGTGTGTGTATGTATGTGTGTGTGTGTGTGTGTGTGTGTGTGTGTGTGTGTGTG